AGAGAGAGAGAAAGGGGAGAGAGCCGGGAGACGGCTTGGCATCCCAAAGAAAGAGAAGAGAGATGCCAGCAGCAAGGCCAAGTGGCTCACTGATTTTAAGGTGGACAAAGAGAGAAAAAAAATACTGATGGCTGTCAGTTGATAACAAAAGCGGCAGCAGAATATCAAAGTCCAAGAGTTGGTTTTCTGCCTTCCTTGGAGAAGGGATTATCACAGGAGATGTGACTCTGTCCTAGAGATATGGTTGAGGCTATTGTTCTTTCTCCTGCTGCTCACTCAGGAACTCTGCAAAAGCAGATTCTCAAAAACAATTTTGGAAGAGAGAGATTTACATCTCTTTTCCATCCATTCAGCTCTTTTCAGAAGTTGTGCAAAATACAACTCCTGCAGGGTAACCTGTTGGTGAAAGAACTCGTAGGATTGATCTTTTTTTTTTTTTTTATTTCAGCAAATTATGGGTGTACATATGTTTAGGTCTTTAACTGTTACCGGGAAAATTGGGGATTAGCTATTTTCCTGTTATTTTTACAAGGCCGCCCCTTTCATTCAGAGTCTTCTCCACTCACGGAGATTGACTGTTCCTCTTTCCAGAACGCAGTCTCACTTTACTTTCGCTATGTAAGCTTCCTGTTTCCTGCAATAGAGCTGCTCCTGTGAATTGCTTGTGTCTGTCATCACTCCGTCCCGCTGAGCTGGCTTGCGATTCCTCCGAGCCAGGAGCCAAAGAACCAGGACAGCTCTCTCTCATAAAACCAACCCTGATAGGTGGACAGGGAAGGCGCTGTCAGAGCATCAGTATGGCAGGTTTTGAAAGCCAAGGAAAGAAAGTTCTGGAAGGAGCAAATTGTTGAACATTATTAGCTCCTGTAGTAACTGTGTGTTCTCTCCTAAGTTATTTACACCCTGTTCGCCTGAACCCTTCCCTCCCACAGCATGCTTATCCTCTCTCAATTCTTTATCTCCTGTGGGTATCTGCCTTCTGATACTCCCTTCCTTCCCGAGAGGCAAGTGTCCTCTCAGGGACTACGGGAGGAGGTTGCTTTACAACATAGAAGCAGCCATGTTCACATCCTGCAACCTCACAGCCACAGCTGATCTTAATATAACAGCCCATGTCTGCATTTGGGGGCTGTTTCTCTTTCCCTGTCTCATCTAAATTCCCCCTTTTGGCTTCTCTGCCAACTCTGTAGCCTAGCATCAGGCTCCTTTGAACCTCTCTCCAAACTAGCATCAGGTGCCCCATTTCTCCCACTGAAGCGTAAATTGGGGAAAGGGCTGCTTTCCCTTCTGTCCTGAGGCAGTGTGTCGTGAGCATCTCATGCCCACCACTCCACCTCACTTTGCTCCTGAAACTCCTGGCCCGGACCCCCTAAAATAGGATGTAGCCATGGGAAGAATCACTCCAAGAAGTTCAATCCTCGAAGAGAGTCACCTGGCGGACACATCCAGTTTTTGGCCTTACTCCCTATGCTCAGGTCACTTTTAGGAGCTTTATCTTCTTCAAACCTCCATAGGGAAAGTCTCCCATATCCCTCAATCTGCCAGGACAATAATCCATAATGGTGCATTTTCCCAAATAGGAGTAATTTAGGTTCACTAATACTTCAGTTGAGTGGGAGGTGGAGGTGGCTTCACAGAAGATCCCAGAGGAGACTTGAACTTCCAAAATGTGTGTAAAGACCCTTTCTGGTCATCCCATTAGGTAACCATTGAATCTGACACAGATGCACATGTCTCACGACAAGCATTCACTCTCAGAGAGTACAAGCTAGACCATATTAAAAAGAAAAAGAGAAACATAAAATATTGTATTACAACACCACAACATGCATGATCTCCACTAGTGATATGTTAAATATTGAACAGCCAACTCTCTGAAAAAAAAGTTTGCATATGTGTGTATGTTTATTATAAATTTTACTAATATAATGGTTTTATGTAGCACAAAATTTGCAAATAATAATAAAATATACAATACTCCATTGTAGTTTCTAAATAGCCAGTTGATTCTCAAAGAACATTTCAAAGACTTTTTCCAAACTTGTATCTGTAGCCAACCTATGATTGCAATTGATGAGTGAGTATAGTTCTGACATAAATGTTGGTTGACACTTGTTTACGTTAATAAGTAAGATGGAAATGAAACAAGGATGACATTTGTCAGAACTCTTATTTGTCCGTGACGTGATTCCTTCTTTACTGAGTTGAGTGATAGTTTTCAAATACTGGAAAAATTTATTTCCTCAATCGTTTGTTCTTTTTACAATGTAATGGATACAGACTGACCCACTTTTAAATAATCTGCCTTATTACCATGTTCTCCATCACTTTCTTAAGTCTAGGTAATCAACA